AGGAAGATCAGCCCTGAGCTAACATCCATGCCAATCCTCCTCTTTTTGCTGAGGAAGACTGGCCCTGAGCTAACATCCGTGCCCATCTTCCTCCACTTTTATGTGGGATGCCGCCGCAGCATGGCCCGACAAGCAGTGCATCAGTGCGCGCCCGGGATCCGAACCCGGGCCGCCAGCTGGGGAGCGCACGCACTTAACCACTACGCCACGGGGCTGGCCCAGGACTTATTTTTGAAGGGGGGGAAACCAGTAACATTTAGCTAATTTACAACCGACATAAAAATATTATGACGCTTAGAAGCAAAAGGATTTGTAGTGCGAGGGACAAGAGTCATTTTAAGAAAGATAAGAATGTTAGTTTAGGATATGTTCATTTGGCAATGTGCTGGGCATATGACAATAAATAGAAACTTGGTGAGTGAATAAGGAATAGGATGGACAGAAAACCAGAGGTTAATTACTTATAATACTAAGACTCACTTTGGACTAAGCGGTACAACTACAGTGGACAAGAGTCCCCCCGTCCAACAATGAAATAAAGTTCTTGTCAACCCTAGAGATTAAAAGTTTACACAAATAACACTTTTAGAATGGTGATTAAATGGTACATGGTCACAGCTGGTCTGTGGCCACCATTTCAAAGTTCCACCTCCCATGTATTTTGATGAGCTCTTCAAAAACACAGAAATGGAATGTAGTGGTATCCCACAGGATTAAGATTTGCTGAGTAGCAACACAGAGAATACAAGAAAAAATATTTAAAAAAAAAAAAGGTTTACCATACAAGCTTCTCTTGCTTGATGTACTGACGGATCTTTCTCTAATATAGATTTATAGTCTTCCAGGGCTTCATCTAGCTTGTCGGTTTTCTCATACAATTCCGCTCTCCTCAATATTGCCCTGACATAGTTGGGGTTTAACTTAATTGCTATAAAAAAGAGAAGAAATAATTGTTACCATGAAGAAAAAGAGCCTATACATCCTCAGCTACATCAAGTTTCTTTATTAACCATCCTCCAAGGGTCCAAAAGGAAGAGTCATTTGTCAAAGGCTGTACCTGGGGTCAGCAAACTTTTCCTGCAAAGGGCAAGATAGTAAGGATTACAGGCTTTGCGGGACAGACCTCTGTCACAGCTACTCAACTCTGCTGTTATAGCACGAGAGCAACCACAGACAATGAGTAAACAAATAAGGGTGGTTGGTTTCCAAGAAACCTTTATTTATGGACACAGAAACTTGAGTTTCACATACTTTTCATGGGTCATAATTTTATTTACAACCTTTTAAAAATGTAAAAACCATCTTAGCTCCTGGGCTGTACACAAAAGCAGGTGGCACGCTGGATTTAGCTTGTGGCTGTAGTTTACCAAACCCTGGTCTATACCCAAGTTCCTGGTTTTCACCTACTTGTCCTCCACCAGCTTCAGAACAGGTCAGAACCCTGAGCTCAAGAGCACAGTGACTAAGTGAGAAAGAATTTAAAGGTACAAATGAAAGAGTTTGGTGGCAGACTCTGCTATCATTCTCTTTTTTCTAAGCCTCAACTACTGAGGTTATGCCGTGATTACTGAGGTAACATTTTTAGCTAAACCCTCATTGTTCCTTCAAACTATGGCTCCAGCACGTTTAGGTCACTGGTGCATAACATCCTTTCCTTTATCCAATGACAACTCCCCTTCTAATAATCCTTTGCCTGTGTTTTGGTTCAAGGATACTGCATTTCTCCTGTTCTTTTTTGAGTTGTTTCTTTTTCTGTTAGAAAGCAGTGTCATGGCTCTAGAACTTTTTTTCTCTTCAAATAATTTACTCGATTGTTTTTCTCTTCAAATAATTTACTCGATTGTTATTAATTCTTTTGGTAACTATTTATTTAGTACATGATATATGTATTGAATGTAGTGTTATCTCTGGAGTATAACGGTAAACAAGACAGACAAGGCTCTTGTTCTCATGAAGCTTTATGCTATTCTAGTAGGCAAGAGTAGACAGCATACAGGTAAATAATTTCAGAGTTATAGTGCTGTAAAGAAAAATAAAACAAGGTAATGTAAATGCAAGTGAAGGGGGGAATAAGGTAACTTCGGAGAGTGATCAAAGAATACGAAGAGGCAATATCTGAGGGAGGCCAGCCATTTGAAAAGCTGTGGAGGAGTGTACCAGAAAGAGGGACTAACAAGAGTAAAGGCTCTAAAGCCAGAATAACTTTGGCATGTTAGTGACTAGGCTGGGGGCTGGGGAAGACATGAGGTTAAAGATACAGGTAAGGACCAGATCATGGAGGCCTTGTTGGCCAGGGAAAGGAGCTTGGACACTTTCCTGAGTGTGACGAGAAGCCACTGGAATGGTTTCAAGCAGACTAAAGACATGATCTGATTTACAGTTTTAAGGTCATTTTGCCTGTAGCGTGGAAGGTGTGAAAGCAGTGAGACAGCTGGGAGGCTACTGCAGTGGTCCAGAGAGATGATGTTGGCTAAGCTGGTGTAGTGGAAATGGAAAGAAGAGGCCAGACTAAGTATATGCCTTTGAATTAGAGCCCATAGGACTTGCTGATTAATTAAGCCACGTGGAATGAAAGCAAGGGAACACTATAATCAGGGATGATGCCAAAGGTTTTAGTTTAAGCAAGTGAATGGATCGTAATGCCATTTATTAGAATGGAAAAAACTAACTGCAAGTTGTGTGTGTGTGTGTGTGTGTGTATGGTGATGGGGGAGGAACCAGAGTCTGTTCTGGGCACCTTAAATCTGCAATACCTACCAGACATCCAAGAAGAGATGTCAAATTTGCAATGGAATATAGGGCTCCAGACCACAGAGAAGAGCTGAAGATATAAACTGTAGCATATAGGTGGTATTTAAAGTTCCAGAACTGGATGAGATCACATAGGGAGAAAATACAGAAGGAAAAAAAGAAGAGGGCCCTATGTAGGACTAAGATCTAGTGATTTCCAAACTGTTGAGGCTGACAGATAAGAGAGCAAAAGAGAATAAGAAGGAATAGCCAATGAAGCAGGAAAAAACGAGGAATACACTGTATTAAATGCTTTAGGCAGGTCAAGTAAGGTGAAGATAGAGAAGCAACTACATAATTGAGTAAGATGAAGTTGTTGGTGACCTTCACAAGATGAGTTTAAGTGGCATGGATGAAACAGAAGCCCAGTGGATGTGGGTGAGGAGAGAATGGGAGAAGACAAAGTAGACAAAGCAAGTATAGACAATTCTTTCAATGAAGATCAGAGAAACGAAATGGTACACAGTTGGAGGGGTATATTGGTTCAGGAGAAGGTTTTCTGAAAGAACCCAAACCTCTTAACATTTCAACTTCACATGCTGTCAACCTCCTTAGTCTGGTGCATCATATTCTCTTAAAATATCCCCAATTACAATACCATAATATCCATACCAAAAATACTCCAATGACCTCTACTACATCTTAAAAAAAACTGAACCTCCTAATTTATATTTTAACCCAGATAGTGCCCCCATCTCAACTAGTAGATAGCTTCTAATAATGCAAATATGTATTGAAGAGAAAAACTTTCCCCATGCTTACCTGATAAAAACCTCTAAAATCAACCTATCATTCCAACATATGATTTTCTTTCCCAATCCATAAGAAGAGGATGAACTTGAACTTTATTTATGTCAAGGCTGAAAACCCTCAAGTGAGTGGCATTAAATACTGTTTTATATGACTAGTAGTAATGAGCTCCAATATGACCTCAGAAATAAGCTGTTTAGTCCTTTGCCAAGAAGGTTATGACTGAATGGGCACATGTATGTGTTTGGGGCGGGCGCGGGGTTGGGGGGTGGTCCTAAATACCAATAAACCATACTAGTGTCAGTGTATTCTGCCTATGGGTACAGTGCATGTAGCCCATAATGACTATGTATAAGCACACGAATACTGGTTTAACCAAATCCAAAAACAAATCTGGAGAACACTTTCCTCTCCTTCCTCTTATTTCCTTGGCAAGGCTCCTACACTCAGGGCTATAGCTGGAAATGAGCTCTGTTCCCAGTGTATACCCTGCTAATCAAGCTTACACGGCACTTTCTCACCACTTGGTTACAGAGAAAGGAGCTTTGAAAATCAGCAGCTTGTTCTTAATTTAAACTCTTCAAACCCACACATCTCACAAAGATTAAGGTTAAATACTTTCTTCCAAACAAAACAGTACATTCAGAATTAGTTCCAGCCCAAGACAGTAATAGACCAGAAGAAGTTTGCTAGATTCTAATGTAGTAACAGTTTCATTCAGATACTAAAAAGCAATACCAAGTATAAAGAAAAGAAAGCCAGTAAAGAGAGTGATAAATTAATAAAAAGAAAAAAAATAGAAGAGGAAATTCATGCTAGTATGAGAGTGGAACTAGATAACAAAAGGTTCTTTCTAACTCTATGATTCTCTCAGAGAAAATATTATCCAAAGAAGGAAAACTGAAAAAAAAAATACAAATTACAAAAAGTAGTAATTAGCTAGAAAAACTCATGAGAGTAGTAAGATGCAAGGAAAAGTGATTACTGTCACGTGTCACTTAATGACAGGGCTATGTTCTGAGAAATGCATCACTGGGTAATTCCATCATTGTGTGAACATCATAGAGCGTACTTACAGAAACCTAGATGGTACAGCCTCCTACACACCTAGGCCATATGGTACTAATCTTATGGGACCACCATCATTATGAGGTCTGTCATTGACCGAAATATCGTTACAAGGTGCATGACTGTGTATGTGTTCTCCACACCAAGTTGGTTAGAAACACAAGACAACTGTCTGGCCTATCAGAAAATTTTTGCAAAAAAAAAAAAATAGTGAGTCTATGCCTGGGGATGTCTCTATAAGTTGGTGGGATGAAAAGACCTTAATGTAACTCAGATATCAGCAAAGGCTTGATTCACTGTCTGGAACCTGAAAGGGTAATTAAAATGATGGCAAGCAGGTTTGGAAGAATTATTACATCTGAAGAGAGTACTAATTCCCAAACGGAAACTGCCCCTCACCACAACTGCCCACCCGTCTCAAACACATGGATCCAGTGGCCCTAATAGCAGCTAATATCTTCCATTTCAAGCTCAAAGGAAAGTAATTTGCACACTACAGGAAGTAAATTCTGTTCCATGAGTTTCTGTTGCCAAGGTAGCTTTGAATTTTTCTTTACATATTTACTAATACAGGATAAACTGACTGAACTATCCAATCAAAAGCATGCTTACACTAAGATGACTACTATACAGTACCTCTAGGAAGGCTGAACTGTAAAGCTTCTTTAAAAGCCCCAGTGGAAGGGTACACATGTACAAATACACACCTGACTGAGAGCCTCTGTATTTGTCTAGCTGAGGTAATACGCTTGTATGTTAACATGTAACAAGACCAAAAAGTTGTACCTTTGCTGCAGTCACTGATGGCCATCTCTTTCTTGTCCTAAAAGGAAATATAACATTAATATGTGTCACCCTAGTTCTATCTTAATGGCCCAAAGGCTCAAAGATATAAGCTGATCATTAATTGCTTATGGAGATGCAGAATGCTCTTCAAAGAAATCACACGAAAACATGCATGTTACTTCCAAGTGTAAATTCAAAATAAGGTGACAGCTCTGATTTGAAAGCCTCCTAGCAATAAATTATTCAAATAGCTTCTTCCTAAAGTATCTTTAAAGACTGCTGTAATTGACCTATTATATTAGCAAGACATTTTACATTAGAATGCTGACACTGAGAAAACTTTGTGATCAATAAACAGGGAAAATGACTGATATATGAATAATTGAATTAACAACTCTCCTCTTTGGCTAACTGTTATATTAACACACCCAAAGTGGTATCTTCCAGATGGTCCATCTACAGACACACAGTGTGGCTTGTGATGTAATCTCAGTTACAAACCTTAATTTATTCACCGATGAAACAAAAATACAAAACAATTCATCAAATAAGACATCTAACTAATTTAACTTGCTGAATCTAGAATCATGGCACAGCAGAAAGAACACTAGACATCAAAAGAATCAGATCCTAGTTCCAGCTCTGATACTAACCTGTTATTAACTCTTCCAGCTCCACAATGTCTATTTTCCTCAGATTGGAAGTTTTCCACAATATTACAGAAATATTAGTTGAAATAAATGTTCAATACTTCCATAATGGCTACTGTAGCAAATACTAAATATTTTGCAGGCTATTTTAGAACAATGTCTACCAAAATGAGTTTCAGGATTCAATCAAAAACAGTTCCAAGATGGGGAGTGACTGCTTGATGAGTACAGGGTTTCCTTTCGAGGTCCTGAAAAAGTTCTGGAACCAGATAGTGGTGATGGTTGCATAACACTGTGAACATATTTAATGGCACTGAATTGGATACTTTAAAATGGTTAAAATGGTCAATTTTATGTCATGTGTATTTTATCCACTTTAATTAAGCAAAAAAGGTTCTACAGTCGTCTGGGAAACACTAACTATATTATATCTCTTCCAACGTTCACCATAGCAATTCACATATTAAAAGTCTAAGAAGTGTGTAGTAAAGAAATCTATGTAGGGCCGGCCCCGTGGCTTAGCGGTTAAGTGCGCGCACTCCACTGCTAGCGGCTGGAGTTCGGATCCCGGGCGCGCACCGACGCACCGCTTCTCCGGCCATGCTGAGGCCGCGTCCCACATACAGCAACTAGAAGGATGTGCAGCTATGACATACTATGACATACATCTACTGGGGCTTTGGGGGGAAAAAAATAAATAAATAAAATTATAAAAAAAAAAAAAAAAAAGAAATCGGTGTAACTTTGTATAAATCAGTATTTCTCCAACTTAAAGATTTCTATAAATCTAAGACATACAATTTCATATTTTAAAGTTTCTGAAATAGGAGTAAATCTTCACAACTTATGTGTACAACTGTTGTGGTGGTATTCTTTTTGCCCTTAAGAAACTAGTATTAAGATGCAGTGCAACTTATCAATAGTCACCCTCTGCAGATCAAGGAATCACGGAACTTTCTGCAGAATCCTTTGTTTGAGGTTTAGAGTCTACTAACACCTCAGGGGACCCTGGTGCTGTCTGCCACTTAGGGTGGTAGCCTCCAAAGTACAGTGTGTGAAAAAACCAGAACTTATTCACCATTCTTTCATAACGTATAGAAGTCTATATACATATATAAAACAATGTACATAATATGTAACGACAGTAGTTTTAAAAAATTTAGTCTATTCTTTTAGGGCTTTGTCTGCTCTTGCGTAGCTAGGCCTAGAGCTGAATCTCTGCCCTAACTCCAGTTTGCCTTTTCTTTCTCCAGATAGGAAACGTACAGCTTGGCCAGGGGCACTCGGGGATGCTGAGCCTGCAAACTTGCCTTGCAGAAATTCTTCTTAAAGCACTTAACCCATCAGTCAACCCTTTCCCTGAAAAACTCAGAATATGCTCCTTAAATCACTTTAGTGCATTAATCCTGGAAGTTTTCAAGTCTCTGATTTCAGCATCTTCTTAAAATAGTACAAGTGCAACTTAAAAGAACAAAACAAAAATCTCACTAACAAATCTATCCTTTGTACAGGAAACAGTCACAGAGCAACTCTCTTTTGAGTTCTCCTCAGACGTGACAGACAAGACTAGCAAGACCACACATTTTCCTAACTCAAGAACTAGTCGATTATGCTAGCCCAATCCTAGCAGTATCAATAACTTGGCAATTGTGGAAACAAAGAATCCCAAATCCCAGGAGCCAAATGGGCACAGTACATTTTCTCTGACATTGAAGGTATCCTTGATCCCAGTTCACAATGACAATTTTGAGTCTGAGAATGTGGCAAGATATCTCCGAGAAGCAAACGCAAAAGATCAGAATTTTCCAGCTAAGTGTAAAAACTGGTAGGTGTGAATTCTGATTGATGATAGAATATATTAATGAATATCCGTTCTAAATAAACTTGAAACAATTGCTTCATTTCTCCTAATACAAAATGTCTGTGTGTATACTCTACAATTATTTCTTCTCCTATGCCATGTGAATCACTCTAAAAATACTTCACCTTGGAGACTGAATCCAATAATAAAACATACAAGTTTGAGTTTAAAAAAATAAAAAAACCTTCCTGCATGTCCAAGCATTCAAGAACCAGCCCCCTGCCAAAACAAAACACCTGATCATGTAAAGTGACTCTGGTAGAGGCACTAGCGAATTTCAGGCAACATCAAAGACAAAATGATGTAGATACCTGATCTAAACAAACAAACAAACAAAAAACCACTTCACTCAATCTTGAGCCTGCTTCGTGGTTGCTTAAAGGAATGTTAAACAACCTACTCTTTGCATTTTGGATATAAGTAGCCATAGTTAAACAAGTAGTATTATTTTTTTCAAAACTCTCATTTCAATCCAGTGAAACTACTATGTTGACTAAATAGGAATATCATACAAATCAACAACAAATCTAACTTTTAATACCAACATAGTACAAAACAAATATAATTGCACTCTTGTCTACTCTACATTCACGCTGCTATACTGGGTTCCTAACCCTTTGGAAATATGAAATGCTTCTGAACTTTCCCTGACATCTATTTTGCGTTTAGGGGCAACTCTCATCCCAGCTGTTGGACTTTTCTCCCAGTGTCTCCACTTTCAACAGAAAAAGCAGAGTCTTAGGAATAAGCATCTTGAAGTTCAGATTTTTAATCAGTGTTCCCGTCTCTTTGAGTCTCCATCTAGAATTCCAGTGGCCTAAAATAAGCACCTGTGGCTATTCTAGGACATGCATTACTTGGCCCTTTGCTTCATTAACCTACCCTAGTTTGGTGGAAACTTTGCCAGCCTTCCTTCCACGAAAGTGTTCACTCAGCACTTTAATGAGGCATGATAACAATAATCTGACTCAAGTTTTTCAAAACATTTTTCTATCCTCCCTGTGCCCTTTATATCAGGGAAACATATGGGCAGGAAAAGGGAGGCAGCAACTTTAAGCCCCTACACTAGTTTTTGGAGAAGAAACTCTATGAAAACACTGCAAGTTCATGTGCTTCTTAAATAGAAAAGGTCCAAGATACATACCTGTTTCATCCTTGCAGCAGCTCTATTTGAGAACAGAATAGACCTGTCTTTCTGGAAGCAGGATGGGCACATCTGAAGGGCTTGACTATAAGAACTTTCAGCTTCTATATAATCTGAGGATGAGGTAAAGATGAGAGGTCGTTACGACTTTATTCCTGATATTACAGTACTCCACAGGATCTCAGAATGCACAGCTTTCCATTCACAGGACAAATGTCTCTAAAAGAATGCTCTTTATGCTCAGCTTTCATTTGACTTATTGATTTAGTAAGGAGTTTTGAAAGGGGATTAAGGAACTGGACAGATGAAAGAGACTGAGGCCTGGGATTAACGGCCCAGGATGAAGACAAAAATTCTATGTATATATTTTCATTAAAGATATCGTGCTTTAATAGAGTCAACCTGGCTAAAACTGCTTCCGTGAAATGTTTGGAGGGACATTTTATGGAGCTAAAGTAGTAATGTAAAAATCAGTAGTTGACTAAAGACCTTAAAAGAGAAAAATAAGTTTATATACTCATTGCCACACAGAATTATCATCAGGGTACTAAAAGAAAATTGCTTATTCCCTCCTTTCTCAGGTTTAAAATATTTAATACTAAAATACAAAGATATACGCTTTCAATATTAGAACCATTCGTGTGCTACGCTTCAGCAGCCCCGGGGTTCACGGGTTCGGATCCCAGGCACGGACCTATGTACTGCTCAAGCCACGCTGTGGCAAGTGTCCCACATATAAAATTGAGGAAGATGGGCACAGACGTTAGCTCAGGGCCAATCTTCTTCAGCAAAGAGAGGAAATTGGCAGGAGATGTTAGCTCAGGGCTAATCTTCTCACCAAAAAAAAAAAAAAAAAAATCAGAACCATTAGTTCTCTTCGAAAAAAAGAAGTGATGATTGCTAAGCCAGGATATAAGAAAAAAAAATTTAAACCTGAAAATAGCTAGAGGAAAATGTCACTACTCCTGGATTTCTAAAGCATATACACTTGGAGATGCGACAGAAGGCAATTAAAAGATCAAATAGTTCCCCCAAATTATCAGAATGAACCCAACTTACTCCTAAGCAAATGTAAGAAATGCAGAAGCACATGAAGAGCATCTCTCTACGTAAGGCATCCAAAGAAAAAGGCACATGAAAGAGCAACCAAAGTACAAGCAAAGTACCTCCCTAGGCCACGCTGAAACCATCGGGTCAGGTTTCACAGCAGTGCTGCAAATGAGGAAGGGGACCCTGCTTTTACAGCAATGCAGCAAACAGCCTTTCAACACCCAGGCTAGAGTTTTCCAAAGCAATAGCTGAAGAGTGTGTCCTCCTAATTCCTGGATATATAGATAGTGGATTACAGAAAAGAAAAACTATGCCTACGCCAAGAGACACATGGTAATTGGTCACTGTTAGCTGGGAACGATTTGGGCCTGGTAAAAAAACAAAATTCCAAGGTGCTGGAAGGCAATACTGCACTATTAGCAGTTTAGGTTTGCTAGTTGTTTCCAAATATTTCTTGGTGTGTCTGCACAGACTCCAAAAAAGAATGAGTCAAGATGACCAGACATTAGTGCTGAAATAGGTATCTTACCTCCTTTCTTAAACTGCTCATTTCCCTCCTCCTTTAGTTTAGTGCTCTCTTCTCTTCTTTTCTGGAAGAGATCAGAGAATTACACAATTTCTCACAATATTATTATAGGTGAACAAAAAAGTCAGCTTTCTTTACACATTAGGCTATTTAATAGGCCGCAACTTGACTTCTGAGAACTGGGTCAGTTTTATCTAAATCTCAAACAGATACAGAGAAAAACACATGACCATTTGGTTAATTATTAATCTCATTCTTGATGTTTAAAACACAAAATCTAGGTTTTCTATGTTTCTATCTTTTCCACGGAATGGTAATTAAGGTGTCATTTAATTTCTATTTACTCAAAACGAAACTAAACAACATACCCACTGGTATGCATACCATTGTAAATTCAAATTTTGGATCTGCTCTTTATTAACTGCATGATCTTGGACAAGTTTCAGATCTTTCTGAGTCTTAGTTTCTTCTTCTAAAATATGAGGCTTTAATAGTTTTATGGATTAATGTGATAATGTATGTAAAGCTCCCAATACAGTGATTGGCAAATAAGGGCTTAATAAATATGAGCTATTATTTTTCTGTAAAATAAGTAATTTAATACTTATTTAGCTACAATTGTGGTTTGTGACATGCAGGAGACATACAGCATGCCGGCAGAGTGCTCATTATGGGGGATGAGCCTTGTCTGCAGGGTCAGGGCAGTATACTGTTAGCAGGCTAACATAGGGAAATTTGAAGAGACCCAGGTAAATAAATCTCTCTTTTCTTAGCTTCTTCTAACAACTCAGCAATTCACAGATGGCTAAGCACCCATCAGACTCAAAGGCAGAGTGAATGTCATTCTGCAGAGCAAAGATGACACCTGCTGAGCTCCTGTGTGCCTCCAGCCCTGAACATCTTAGCAATATGGTCGGCACAAGCAGAACTGGCAGAAGTGGTTGCTGCCTGCCACCGTTTCGCACTGCTTTTTAAAAAAAAAAAAACAAAAAAACAGAATTTTCAAAAATCTCTTTCTTCATTCTTGAAGCTTCTGACTAAACAAAAACTTCAAAGGGAGGAAATACAGTTAGCAGGGAATTTCATGCACAGGGGAAGCCTGGAGTCTAAACAATTATACTCTAAGATTAGGAACCCAAGTAGAAATATTTTCTCTCTGAAGATTTGTAAATATGCTAAAGAGACCAGGGGGCTTCCCAAATGCCCTACTATTATCCTCTGGATGAAACAGAGCACGTGATGAATCTCAGTAAAGAAACGAAAAGGTAGGTATAAATTTAATCTAATATTTATGGTATCTACTATGTGCCAGATGTACAGCAGACACAATAATAATTCATTTTAAGATACAACATATCTGAAGAAGAGCTATCCTAAAGGAATACAGAAAAAATAAAATGAGGGGCCACCCGGTGGCGCAGCGGTTAAGTGCGCGTGCTCCGCTGCGGCGGCCCGGGGTTCACAGGTTCAGATCCTGGGCGCGCACAGACACACCGCTTGTTAAGCCATGCTGTGGCGGCATTCCATATAAAGTAGAGGAAGATGGGCATGGATGTTAGTGCAGGGCCAGTCTTCCTCTGGAAAAAAGGGGAGGACTGGCATCAAATGTTAGCTTAGGGCTGGTCCTCCTCACAAATAAATAAATAAATAAAATAAAATAAAATGAGTGGTGGTGGTGGGTATCAAAATATAACAATGTGGCCACATTTACTTAGTACTACCCAGGAGGAAGGTGCTGGGATTGTAATGTTCTCTATTGTATTGGTTTGGGTTTTTGGATGCAAGCAAAAAGACTGTCCATCTTAGGCAAAAAATTTTAGAAGGACAGATTTACTAGAAAGATAGATACTGAGGGCTCACAGAATCAGTCAGAGGCCTAAAATATAGGCTTAGATAACAGGCAGGACTCAAGGCAGCTTTGTTAAGTCAAGAAGCAAGAAAGCATTAAGTGTCTTTTAGTGGAAGAGTCTGGCCAAGACAGGGCTGTAACAGTAGCAAATAAATCCTAACCATTCCTTTTTACTTGCCTGGGTCCAGATTTAAAGTCTTAGTCGGAAGCATCCAACGAGCTAAGCGTAGGTCACATGCATTGGCTGTCAGAGAATGGAGGGAGGGACATGGGGTACTGCCACTCAACAAGATTACAACACAAGAGAATTCCTCCAAATGAGAAGAGTGGTTGGATGCTGGAATCTAAGAAAACCCCATAACAAATCCAGTTAAAAGTTATTTCAACCCTGAATAGCCAAAGCAACCTTGCAGAAGAAGAACAAAGCTGGAGGCATCATGCTCCACGATTTCAAACTATCTTACAAAGCTATAGTAATCAAAACAGTTTGGTATTGGCATAAAAACAGACAAATAGATCAGTGGAGCAGAATAGAGAGCCCAGAAATAAACCCACGCATATATGGCCAATTAATTTACGACAAAGGAGCCAGGCAGATACAATGGGGAAAGGACTGTCTCTTCAATAAATGGTGTTGGGAAAACTGGACAGCCATGTGCAAAAGAATGAAACTGGACCACTATCTTAAACCATACACAAAAATTAACTCAAAATGGATTAAAGACTTCAACATAAGACCTGAAACCATAAAACTCCTAGAAAAAAACATAGGCGGTAAGCTCCTTGACATAGGTCTTGGTGATGATTTTCTGAATCTGACACTGAAAGCAAAGAAAATAAAAGCAAAAATAAACAAGTGGGACTACATCAAATTAAAAAGCTTCTGCACAGCAAAGGAAATCATTAACAAAATGAAAAGGGAACCTACTGAATTGGAGAAAGTATTTGCAAATCATATATCCAATAAGCGGTTAATATCCAAAATATATATAAAGAACTCATACAACTTAATAGCAAAAAAACCCAAGACCAGGGCCGGCCCCGTGGCTTAGCGGTTAAGTGCGCGCGCTCCGCTACTGGCGGCCCAGGTTCAGATCCTGGGCATGCACCGACGCACCGCTTCTCCGGCCATGCTGAGGCCGCATCCCACAAACAGCAACTAGAAGGATGTGCAGCTATGACATACAACTATCTACTGGGGCTTTGGGCAGAGAAAAAAAAAAGGAGGAGGATTGGCAATAGATGTTAGCTCAGAGCTGGTCTTCCTCAGCAAAAGGAGGAGGATTAGCGTGGATGTTAGCTCAGGGCTGATCTTCCTCACCAAAAAAAATAAATAAAAACCCAAAACCAAACACAAACAAACCAACAAAAACCCAATCAGATTAAAAACTAGGCAGAAGATCTGAATAGATATTTTTCCAAAGAAGATATACAGATAGCCAACAGGTACATGAAAAGATGTTCAACAGCATTAATCATCAGGGAAATGCAAATTGAAACTACAATGAGATTATCACCTCATACTTGTTAGAATGGCTATTATAAATAAGACAAGAAATAACAAGTGTTGGTGATGATGTGGAGATAAGTGAGCTCTTGTTGCACTGTTGGTGGGAATGTAAATTGGTACAGCCACTAAGGAAAATTGTATGAAGCTTCCTTAAAAAGTTAAAAATAGAACTACTATATGATCCAGCAATTCTACTTCTGGGAATTTATACAAAGAAAATGAAAACATTAACTTGAAAAGATACATGCACCACCATGTCCTTTGCAGCATTACTTCTAATAGCCAAGCTACGGAAACAACCTAAGTGTCCATTGATGGACATCATCAAGCCATGCTGTGGCAGCATCCCACATACAAAAAACAGAGGAAGATTGGCACAGATGTTAGCCCAGGGCCAATCTTCCTCACCAAAAAAAAAAAAAAAATTGTGGTGCACATGCACACACACTGGAATATTATTCAGCCATAAAAAAGAATGAGATCTTGCCATTTGTGACAACATGGATGGACAGGGAGGGCATTATGCTAAGTGAACTATGTCAGTCAGAGAAAGACAAATACTGTATGATCTCTCTTACACGTGGAATCTTAAAAAAAATAATAATAACCAAGCTCATAGATACAGAGAACAGATTGGTAGTTGCCAGAGGCAGGGGGTGGGGGTAAGAGAAAAGAGTGAAGGAGGTATAAGAAAAATAAAAAATAAAATAATAAAATTATAAAACAATTTCAATTAAGGTAAAATCAAAACCCTATAAATATTAGTGAATTTCATTCAATCAATTTTAAATTCTCACACACACACCATGCATCACTGGCCAATAAAGTTCTAACAGTGAAATGAAAAGTTGGTTTCACATTAGAAAATATATTAACGCAAGGTAGCATAAGTTAAAAGAGAAAATTATACGATCATATGAATAAATGCATCGCAGGTCTTAAAGGTCTTTAATATATTAAAAAAAGTTATTTCAAGAACAAAAATTCTTTAGAGAAAGGCAGCTCATCAAGTTATTAGAATTTAAGGTTCATCCTTTAAGAACTTGCAGTGTCCTCTGCTTTAACTCTAATTTCAAGCTACTTTCTGACCTAAAATCTGTTCTCCAGTGCCAACTCATCAGGAATGTTCTATGAACACAGATGAATCACACAGCCTGCCAGATCAATCAGGCTCTTGTGAAGCGTGTGTGTGTGTTTTAGGAGTTTAATCATTCTTTGGTAAATTTACAACATTAAGATCCCAATGGGCAAAGCCTAGATCCAAGATACACCAGAAGGAATTACTGATAAGGCCCAGCCCGAGCAGTCAGCCCGAGAAAAGCTTACAATGTCTTTATAACTAGGACTAAAAGTTGCACTGGCACAGGGAAGGGCTCCAGAACATAATTCTAAGGCCAATTATTCTAAAGAAGGCATTTTATTTTTTCGGCTGATAAATCACAACTCAGTGACTCATTAAGCAGTAAACACTGGAAAAGAGCTGCTGCTTCCACAGACTGTGTAAATTGAGGATTAATGCAATTATCAATATCATGCTGAACATCTCCTTGGTAACAGCTAAAAATAGCACCTTGAGGAGAAAGCTGCACTATTGCCCAGCTGCGCCAACAGACTAACTGGATCTCAGTACAAAGACTAGGGTTTATTCTGCTGCCGGAACATACTCTTTCTCTAAAGGATGGCACGTGTACTGTGTAATGTTACT